ATAAAATTATATATATTATTTTCATTTTCATTTTAAAATGATGAATCTAAGCATCTAAACAGAGAAGAGGAAAGTACTCTGCATAAATCATTGCAAAATCCCTTTTGAGACTTTGAAGTGAACATCTAAGTCTTGATGCCGATTCTAATAGTAGTGGGCATAATACAGGCCTTGTGTTTTCGTTTTTTTGCTGTAATCCCATATGCACACCTGAGTCATCCACCAGATACCGACCGTGGGCCTGCCACGTGGTGGGCATCCAGAGGGAAGGAAGGACACCCATGCGGACAGAGGTCTCCCTTATCTGTTTCCCCTTTCCCTGGATTCAGTTACCTGCGGTCAACCACAATCTGAAATATTTATACAAGAAGTGATCGAAAAATAGAGTCAATATTTATTTTTTCTGATTTATAAAAGACCCATTTCTCTTTCATGAGTCTTTAGTGGCACTGCCACAGCTGCTTCTGTTTTCTGATGGAGTCAAAACATTTCCCTTTCATGATCATTTTGAGTTTGGGGACGAGCCAGAAATCGCATGGTGCCGGGTGCTGTGAGTGAGGTAAATGAGGACATAGCGTCGTGTCTTTGTGAGCCTGCCTTTCCACTGGATGGCGCTCAGCAGCATTCACTATATTTCTTAAACACATCTCATAAAGACACCATGAAAGACAAACATGGGCATCCGAAATGAACAGACACTTCTCAGAGAAAGAAGTAAAAGCAGCAAGTAAATATATGAAAAAATGTTCCACATCACTGGTCATTCGAGAGATGCAGATGAAAACAACACTGAGATTCCACCTCATCCCACAAAGAATGGCTGCTATCAAGAAATCAAACAATAACAAATGTTGGTGGGGTTGTGGAGAGAAAGAAACCCTTCTCCATTGTTGGTGGGAGTGCAGACTGGTGCAACCGCTATGGAAATCAATATGGAGATACCTCAAAGAGCTTGGACTAGAGGTTCCATTTGACCCAGCCATCCCTCTGCTGGGTATCTTTCCAAAAGAATTAAAAGAATCATATCATAGAGATATATGTGCACCTATGTTTATAGTGGCACAGTTTGTAATAGCTAAAACTTGGAAACAGCCCATTTGCCCATCAGTTGGAAGCTGGATAAAGAAGATGTGGTTACCAAATAGTTTCTCTGGTGTGAATAAACTGTAACAGCACGTAAGATCCTAATGATATAACTGACAATGTGAAATAGGAAGAAAGGGGCTAAAGGTGTAGGGAAAGTGGGAAGGGTAGGGGAAAGCTAATAAGAGAAAAAAATATGAGAAAATGAAAAATGGAAATAAAGTATTTGTAAAGGGGGAGGGGAGGAGGGGGTGAAGGGAGGGCAGGGACAAGGGGAAAAAATGAGAACCAAGACCTGTCATGTAAAGGTACAAGATCCCGATAATGAATGCAATTGTAATGTATACCTAAAATGTACCACTAAACTCAATGAGGGGAAAAAAAAAGATACCATGAAAGAGGACTTCCAGAACTGCTTGGCAAGTGTCAGGAATGATGGGTGTTCAAAGCAGGGGGGGGGGCATTTTGAGGGGAATTAATGACAATGTGTCTCTTACAGTAATAAATGTTTAAATGTAAATATTCACCATGTATTTTATCATACCTCATATTTGTGCTGACTCAAGAGAGACCTTGTTCACATTATTTCTATTACAGATAATAATTGTTCTATTTTATCAATAGTTATTGTTAACCTCATACCATGCTTAATTTATAAACTACATATATCTACAATATATATGGCTTGGTATCCTGGGCAGTTTGAGGCATCTACTTGGTTCTTGAAACACAACTCCTGGGATAAGGAGGGACGACACAGTATTCTCACTCCCATTTCTCGGGAGGGACACAGCCCTTGTCCTCACAAGTTAATCCTCAGTGATTCCTGTAGACGTTTTGTGAATGTGCTTACAAACAATCCGCCATGAGTGGCCTCTGCTGTTTTTGCTATTTCTTTATTACTGCGCTCCACGAGGGCAGGAACTCATTAATTTTCATTTTCATCCCCCAGCAGTGAACCTGGAGCCACTAAAAACCTGCCAATGTTATTTTTGTTTTTTTCATTTTGGGGTGTTTTTTTTTTTTCTGGTTTCATAGGTATGAAAGAAAGCCTTAACACATGCTAATTTGCATTTCATTAAGCCATACATTCAGTCATATGATTTTGTCTTTTTCTCTTAGCTATAAACACTCTACCTACAACACAGAATTTTGATACTGTCACAATATATTTACAGCAATTCTTAGATGGTGGGTTTTATTGTTGCTTTTAAAGATATTTTCTATTATTACATGCAACAATTCATCCCCAACCCAGAAATTATTTAAGGTAATATTTTGAAATTTTCAGTAGTTGGCCACACTTGTAACTGTGTTCATGTTATTTTCTTTCAACATTATTCCATATGGTTGAGAAAATGTGATATATGAGGTTACTGCCTTTTTGTAATTGCTAAATATCCTTTGTGTTCAAAAGCAAGATGGATTTGTTTGTATTTATTTGCTTCAATGTAATATCATTCTGATCTTTAGGTTCATAAGATATTAATAAATTCTTCCTTTTGTTGCTATACCCAGACCTTCCAATTTCATTTTTCATTCATTCCTCTCCCCTTCCTCACCCCATTTTCTTAGGAATTCCCCATTTCTTCGCCTTAACTTCTTATTAATACCTTTTTTCTTGACATCTATTTTTTAAAAGTCTGGACATACATTTTAACTCTGATTCTCTCAATAGATACACAGATCCATAGTTTGTGCACCTCTGCCAGTTCTTTTATGAGCCGTCTGCTATTATATATTTGGGATGTGTGGCTTAGTTTCGTTATTAGTTTTTCATTGTTCTATGTACCATCTGCCTTGATAGTGACCTTGACTGTATTTGTGTCCTTTGCTATTTCATAACAAATTTCATCTGCTACCAGAATGGCAACTCCTCTTTTAAAACTCAGCCCCGGAATATAATCCATTGCTTTTCTGTGATGGATTGTGCCTTCTGACTCAATGTCCCCTGTAAACCTTAGGGTGTTGGTTAGAAAAACTCACAGCACTGTGGGCCTAGAAGAGTGCTTGGAAATTCAGCTAGACTGGCCTCGTCGTTTCACAGAGAAGAGATGTGGGGCCCAGGACACAGTGTGACCCACAGCAGAATCAGGATATGCCTCCCCTGCATCTCCTCCCTCATCATCCAGGCTTCCCACTGTCCTTTGATACTGACTGAGAGTGGTAGACCAAAAAAGCAAGTTTAAATCTGGCTGTAGCACTTGTCACTCGTGTGACTTAAGCATGACACTCAACTTGTAGAAGCCTC